AACAATTCTCGGGCCAATCGAGACCACCTCCTTTGGTAAACCCCCCCTCCACCCCCGAATAATCGAATTTTAACTACTAAATAAAATACGGGTTGAGCAAATTTTAGCGCTAGTAGATTAATCACTCACAGATTCACCGCGGCTATTCTTTATGTTGAAGCTATTGCCGATTTGTAAACAGACTTCTTCCCGAACTATTAGTTTGTCAGTTTGCTTCAAAAATTCCAAAGCACCCAACTTATTTTTGTAAACTGGTGCTGGTGGTGCTGATGATGCATATGCCAACAGAAAATGAATTTATCAAAATTATTGTCGTTTCAAAAACTCTTCATTCAACCATAAAATTGCGCCTTTGCTTGCTTCTTCAAAAGTTTTAACAATGAGAATGAAATTATGAAGACTTACCGTTACTGCCACTCGGGTTTGGCTGAGTTCTTATCGGCTGTGGTTCTGCTATCGGAACAGATCCGTACTAAGGAAACAAATCACATGAGAATGTCATTTAAATACGATTTTTAGAACTATTCGATTTTGTGAGTGAATGAGGTCTATCAAACAAACCATATGCTCAGTCGGATAAAGGAAGAAAACAAATGGCTGTTATTTAATATTCACATTGGTGACACAATAGAAAGAATTACGGAAAACAGCGCCGAAAGTTTCATTTCAATTGAAAGCTATAAAACAGGCACCATTCAATTTTCCATGCTGATCAAAGCGATAAAACGAAACCGGGTACAAAAAAATAAAAAGGAACTTACATCCGTAAGTCCAACTTTTCCGCACTGTTTCCAAATTTCTTTCTTTAGTGAACGAATATTTATTTCCCGAAAGATATTGAATATGCACTGGTATTGCAGTACTTTTTTAATAACTACCAAATTCTAAATGCTAAAACCAAAGATTTTTTTGGCCAGTTAATAGACTATTGACGTATAAATAATTCAAAATATGTGGTGTGTGTGTGTGTGTCTCTCTCTGTGTGTTTGTGGAAAGGTAGAAACACCATAAATGTGAATTTTTGTATGCATGATATCGCAATGACGTGAAACTTTACAAAGAACATTTTTTTTAACAAAAAACTAACATTCTGAGAGTTTGAAGAACTTTCAATTAAAAATAAGGGTACCTCCCATATAAAAGAACCACGCGCTCAAATCCACTGTCAAACGTACGTATTTGTATTGAAATTTCGTAAAACAGAATGTTATTTTTTTGTGTAAAAAATAGCCTGTGTAAAGTTTCACGTCATTACAATATCAAACAGGCATGGCTTCCATATAAAAAATTCAGTTTTTTTGTAATTTTTTCAAAGAAACTGTGTCAAATATTGATTTTATCTCAAAACTAACGCCGGATTCAGTTTTCTCGTACCAAAAAACCCCCCATTACACATTTCCCACTTTGACTTACGTCTTTGGGGAAAGAGTTATCGAGTTAACAAATTGCATACCAGGGGTATGGGTACACCATGGATACACCGATGAATGAATATCGCTCAAAAAGAGTTATTGTGCTAACAAATTACCTATTGATTTTTTGCGTACACCATACAGTGTACAGTGTACCACATCCCTACATTAACATGGCCAAAAAATCGTTGCTCTGTGCTTCTCTATACCCAAAACGCATAGAAAAACGATTTATAGCTGCGGTCCTCTATGAGCTACATTGCGTAGCATGCATAAAGTGAAAGAAAGCTCGCGGATCAGATATACAAATTGGATTCACGATGAACATTTCAAATTGATGCCGAGAATTGATGCTAAATCAATTTAAAATGATTTTTTGATCGTTTTATTCAATTATATGAGACAAAATGGAAAATCAGGTGAGGTATTCATTTGAATTGAATTTTGAACACATTTCGGCACCTGAATTGATCCATTCTTTATTCACAATCATATCTTATTTCATCCCAATTAAATGTAAGAATCGAGACGTTTACTCATATTGTAATTTTGTTGATGGATCCCATTGAATTTTTTGTCAATTGATTTTCTGCCTATTGTGAATTGTGAGTCTCCAAACACATAAACGTGAATCAATTTAATCGAAATTAGTTTAAATAGAGTGCCAATTTTAATTAACCTTTCATCGAGCAAAGCATGTACAGTTTGCTTAGTTCGATTAATAAACAGCTTCTCAAATTGAATTAAACTTTTGCCTACAAGTCAAATATTATCTCAGTAAATATTTGTCAATTGGTAATTTTTTGTGGAGCAAGCATTCGGCTGTTTTAAAACAATAATTCGATTACGGAATTCGTCATTTGCATAATATGCACGCACAGATAGACACATTTCGAATACGAACTTTGAGTCGTTGTTTGTTCTATAGAATAAATTCATTTACGACTTTAAGTTCAATATATGCTGAATCTAAATTAGTAAATTGACTCAATCGTAAACTCTTTACTGCTTCTGAACTCGATTCAAGAATTGAGAGAAGAAACAAAATCGGACGGTTTTTTTTTGTTTGGATCATTCCCGCTTTATTTGGCTGATTTCATATTTCATTCACATATATAAAAAGGATCTTTAAATTTAAAGCAAAAATTCTTATTAACTAACTACCGAAGCCTGATCATGCCCATAGCTAACAACACCTCTAATGCGTATTCCGAGTACTAAATGACGTTTGTGACAATATGGCCGTCACGGTTTGGCAAAATCATAATGAATCGATTATACTGCGTTAAACTGTTTAAATAAAACAGTAGAAATAAATGGATTTTAATTTTTTACATTTTTGAAAATAAAAAATCTTTTGTTTTTTTTATTTTGTGAGATTTTCTGTCCACAATATTCAAAAATATTAAATTAATAAAAATGAATTGGTTGACATAACCTCACTTTTGTGTTACAATCGTGATAAACCGATTAAATAACTATTAAAACAGTAGAAATAAAAATATTTTAATATTTTAATTTTTTACATTTTTAAAAATTAAAATTTTTTGTTTTGTTTTGTAGTTTCCGGTAGTTTCGTGAGATTTACTGCACAATATTCAAAAATATTAAATTAATAAAAAATGAAGTGGTTGACATAACCTCAATTTCGTTTTAATAATTATTTGATCGGTTTATCACGATTGTGACACAAAAGTGAGGTTATGTCAACCAATTCATTTTTATTAATTTAATATTTTTGAATATTGTGGATAGAAAATCTCACAAAATAAAAAAAACGAAAGATTTTTTATTTTCAAAAATGTAAAAAATTAAAATCTATTTATTTCTACTGTTTTATTTTAACAGTTTAAGGCAGTTTAATCGATTCATTATGATTTTGCCAAACCGTGACGGCCATATTGTTACAAACGTCGATTAGTACTCGGAATACACATTAGAGGTGTTGTTAGTTACAAGGTTTATATAGAAAATCCTATACCATGATCGGGCTTCGCTAACTACTTTGTGATAGTATTATAAAAATAACGAATAAAGCATAGAATCCGTTGAATTCAAATCGAAGAATAAGACTGAATCGAGAAAATCAGCGACTCGTGGCACACTTTTTGTCTAACTCAAACAAACTCAAAGTGACAAACAAATTCAAATTCTTCTTATTTAAAATGTCTATAATAATATAATAAAATTCGAATTAGTAAATATATTAAGGGAATTGTAATACAAACACGTGAGCATGTAGTATCTTTAAAAAATGAAAATTAATGTTATTTTAAAAGAATTTATGGAATTTATTGAATTATGAAGATATTAACTAACCGTCGTCTGATGTTGTTGATGTTGTATCGGCTTGTGGCGAGACTGCAGTTGGAATTTCTATCTGCGTAAATTCATTTTGAACTGGAACTGATGTTACAACCTAATAAAATAGCGAAACAATCAGGTGGAAATTTAATTTTGAAACGAAACCGAAATTCAGCCAATTACTATGACTATTTACTCACATTGCCACGATTTTGATCTATTGTGACTTCGTTTTGAACATTGTGATTATCTAACATGAAATTGGAAGAAATTATTAGTAGTTAATGAAATGCACACAGATTTTTTTTTTTTTTTTGAAAAATAGATGTTTTTTCTATTAGTATACGCAGTCTTGGTCCCTGGCAAATTAGTAAATTTGATGCATTTTGTAAAAATTACCTAGCCTATATTCATGGGGTGTAATTGGAATGAAAGTGGCATTGGGTTGTGAATTTGGAACTAATAGCGGGCTCGGAAATAGTGTGTACTATGATGTTAATTAGAAACAAATTATATGTACAAATAGTTATACATGGTACACTTATATTTACTCACATAATCAGGTGGCGGTGCGGTTGGAGCTGGTGCATTTCTATTTAAAACACATTTTTGTTGATTTTCTTCTCCGATGGCCATGATTTGGGAACTCTTAATCTCTGAACATGAAAATATATCAACTCTATAGATTTAAAAACGCTGAACTCTCTAAAAAAAATTATATTCACTATTGGCGAAAGTCTTCACATATAATAAATGATATTGAGACGGAGTTAACTTTAATTTGATGTCACTTTATTGACAGTTGGAAATCAACTAATTTAATTAATGTGAATTTTTGGCAATGCATACTGCGGGTCCATGCGTGCGACAACGTATTCAGTCACCACCGTTCACTACATTGTATAAGTCACGGTCAATGCAAAATTCTCAATTGAGATTATTTGCCGAAAGTGATACACACTTCGCAGAATGAATGATACGTCATTTTGATACACAAATTACACATTCTTTAGAGCTTTTAATAATGTTCATTATTAATTTACATTTTCATCATTTCATTCATTCACAACGGAAAATATTTTATATATGACCGTGAATGTTTTCCGCATTGGATTTGAAGTAACGTAGTTACAAGATAGGTTACAAGTTTATTATTTATGTTCTTTGATTTTAAAAATTTAATGTCAATTTTAAAAATCAATGAAAAATAATTTCAAATAAATTATTCAAAATGCCAATGGGACGCCTACTTTCGAAATAAAGTTTTTGTGAGAAATTGAGGTGTGACACAATCAAAACACAGAATGTGTGACACATTATCTTCGTTGATATATAAACGTCACAAGGACTTGTTTGAAAACAAGTTTGATTTATTTGTTTTGAGCTCTCACGTTCTAGAGTTTCACATATAAAAATGGTTTGAATACATCCATTTTAAATTGTGCAAGCGATGCGTCAATATATATATTTCCCATTGTTAATCATTCATTTCATTCTTCAAATTCCAAACAAACTATCTTGATATGCCTTAGTGTAAAAGTGTTTTCTTTTTCATTTTCTACAGAAAATTGTAAATTTATTAATAGAATCAATGTATAATTTGTTTTTATAAATTTTTCTTTGGCAGTGCCTTTTCCTTCTTATAAAAAAGAATAACAAAGTACAAGTTTAGTCTTTGTTCAACTGTACAACTGCAGTAACTTAAAATCAGCAGTGAAAATACTTAACTTAATCAAGTCCCAAACTTTGAAATTTGAATCCAGAAAGAAATTACAAGTTCAATTTTAAAATAATAATAATTCAATAAAATACAAAAAAAGAAGGAAAAATCGCGGACGGTGAAGACGTTTTCTCCTCTCTTACTTAATCTCTTCAGAGAAAGAAACAAAGAAGTCACTTCTTAAAATGGAAACATTTGTATCATTAAAGAAATTTTTTCGTTTTATCAGGAATCCATTTCTCGGTCCAAAATCATCAAATCCGTAAAAATGTTGATTGTTTTTGTATTTTACATAATTTTTTTTGGCACAACATTTTTGTTTTTTGCTTTTGTTGCTGGCACATTTTCCGAATTGACCGAAAGCTTCTTTTTTCTGTTGGCTTTTGGTAGCGGCATGGTACGCTAATTATTTCACAAAGGAAATTGAATTCATCGAAATTATTCAAGATTTGGATGCAATAATTGAAAAAAGTAATAATCGAATGAAGCAAAGCAAAAAAAATACACTTTTCTTATGAAAATGAATTTCATATCGATAAAACAGGAAGCAGCGATGAAGCAGTTAAGAAAATTTATGAAGAAGTCAACGTTAAAATTGAAATGATTACAAAATTAGCTCATTTTATGCAACGCATACAAATGTCTCTCTTCTTGATTGCACCTGTCATCGTGTCGATGTTCAAATACTATATTTCAAAGAGGTGTAATGCGCTCAATAAGCGTAATGCTTTGTTTGCCGAACTTCGTATAGACAGTGCCATCTATATATAGAATGGGATATTATTTCACAAGTTTGAGAATGAGCGCATATGTTATTCCAAAAATTGTTGAAAAATAATTTAATAAATTGTTTCATTTTTTTGTTTTGAAAGTGAAGTTAGCACAATTAGCATTAGATAATTTCTATTTAAAAAAAAAACATAAATTTATATGCGTTTTAATTTAACTTAAAAAGCCTCGGGTGTAGAGTGTGTAGATCTTGTAGAAATGATTTTGTTAAAATCTCCATACGTAAACTCATAAGTGTGAGTGTGACATTTGACAGATAGATACAAAACGTAATGTTATTGTTCTCTTACATACTTGTCATACACTCGTGCGAATTATTCTGTTCTGTTAAGTTCGTTTATTCCGTTCATTTATTTTATTTATATTCTTAATCTGGCAATCACATCGCAAAATTGCGTAAAAATGGCAGATTCTATTAACAGTTTTATTGATCTTGACACCGGCTGTATAAAATATCCTGATGGAGACTTTACTTTTATATTAAACTTTATTCTGTTTAGTTCGCCAAAAGATAGAGTGAGGGCGTTAGTGTGACAGATTTCATATAAAAAAGCTACTGTATTAGAGATCTTCATATACATCGTCTACATATCTGTGCCAAATACGTGGAAAAAATGCATTTTTCTTCATCTCTGTTCCAAAGTTCGACAAGAATAGATTCGCCAAAAATGGACTCAATGGTGATCCCATGCAGCAACCGAAATTTTGTTTGTAAAACTTTCCGTTGAATTGAAACCAACTTTCACTCATGCAAATCCTAGTTAAATTGATAATTTCAGCTCTCTCGATGTCATGTACTCCATTTTGCACAAGACAATCATGAAGAATTTGTAGCGTTATATCAATTGGAACATTTGGAAACAAAGATTCGACATCAAAAGAAACTTGAATTTCATTGTCTGCAATTTTTGTGTTTTTGATTTTATTCACCAAATCGATCGAGTTTTTTACCGATGAAGATTCAAAATGAATTGGTAAAGATTTGAATTTTTCCAAAAGCCAAATTGCTAGTCGTTCGGTTGGAGCATTGTTGTTTGGTGTTATTGGGGTTTCATCGAAAATGGTTTTATTGTTTTTCAAAATATTCGCCATGATGATCAATACACTTTTGCATTCGCATTATCATGATGAAGAATTATTTTGCGACGGCGGTTGTTTTTT